GAGCCCACTTTTCACGCGGCCACCCTTGACACGTGGCGACCCGTTCAAATCGCTGCAGGTACGCGTCGAGGTCGTCCCGAGCCTCATTGAAGGGCGGAATAAGTTTATGAGGACTGCAGACCTCTGTTATTCCTCTGGCGCTCATGCTGGATCCTCCTTGTTCGTCAGCCACCATTGGCTGTACCCTGCTTGCGCTCTCCTGAAGTCGAAGCTTCAGTTCGAGGATCTTCAGCTCTTGTTCCTGCACCTTCTGCTGCTGCTCTAACAGCTTCTGCTGCCTCTCAGCGTTTTCTTTCGCGATCTCGCGCTCCCTAGCACGCTCATCTCGAGCTTCAACGCACTCTCGCTCAACCCACTCTCTGAGCTCCTCGTTCTCCAACCCTAGCTGTCGGCCAAGTGCAATAAATTTCTCCCTGTCCATGACAAAGGCTGTGTCTGAGTAATGGCTTTAGATTTTAATAAGCCATCCTGGCAGGCTCGCCAATTGTGGTGGTTCTTGGGCCCTCAGACGCAGAAACCCAAGACAAGGACAAGAGAAACATCTATTGACTTCACACACAAAACAATCACAACACTGTGGCTATGTAATTCAGTCATACAGTCCTTATGTCTACGCGCCCGCGAGTAACCCACGCGTCCTCACTACTCGGAAGTCTTAATTCCGTCGGGTGCCACTCACGCTCCCGCTGAAGACGATGGCGTCGACGACGCAACCTCGCCACGGGAAGGTTCCAAGTGCACGGGAGCTCACGAGCAGACCATCAGCTGCTCGTGCTGGACCAGGCGGCCCCACGCTGCGGCCGACGCAACACCGAGGTCGCACCTTCAATTGGCGGTTGTGCCGGACCGGCTCCGACGTGGCACCGTGGCCACGATCTCGGTGACTGGTTGTGCCGGACCCGAGTCTGGACAGGATCAGCCGCTTGCCCTGGCCCGCACGCTCGTCCGCCACAGGAACAGCATGTCAGGCCCGGCCCGGAACCGCCACTCGCCTCAGGAACATGCCACGCTCGTCCCGGTTGGGTTGGTGACACCCGCTCGTTGGTTCGGTCCCCTGAGGCCCAACGCCTAGCGCTCTTGCTAGCTGGCCGCGTTCTTCCTCTGCCCGTCGCTGTTCCGAAACTCACGCGCTCGCGTTCGTCTGACCCCGTGCACACTTTGTCTTCGTCGATTATTTTCCCTGTCGGTTTCACTTCCAGTTTCGATTTTGGTTGTGGGAAGCACTCTTACCACAGGTATACGTCTTTGCGAGTGATCTTATTTAAGCGCCTGTAATCAACGCAGAAGCGAATTGTACCATCCTTCTTCTTAACAAGAACGACAGGTGATACCCATGGACTTTGGGAAGGTCGGATAATGTCGCGCTTGAGCATATCGTCAACGTGTTCGGTGATAACCTGACGTTCCGTGGCAGAAACACGGTATGGTCGCTGTCGTATTGGCGCGTTGGAACCTGTGTCGATGCAGTGGAAAAAACTGGGAGTTCGGCCAAGGGTAGGTTGAGCAACGTCAAAGAATTTACGAAACTGGTAGAGCAGCTGAAGGAGCTCAGAGCGTTCAGATGGCGATAGTCCGTCGGCAATCGATAAATCGAAAAGCTCGGAAGGTGGTATATTGGAAGGGTTAAGGGCACTGATGGCGTTGTAGTCACCGGAACAATCTGGTGGCATGGTAAAAATTTGTTCTTTATCAATGACATGCACGTGTCCAAGAGATTCACCTTGAAACAGTTCGACGGGATACGGAAGGAGATTGATGAGGCAAAGAGCACTGTTTCCTTCAGAAATAGAGAGGGTTGAATAAGGCAGAAGAAGTGATCTTCGTCTAAGGAAGAGGCTTGATGGTTCAAAGAATGCAGCTTCATTCCTAATGCCGTCACAGAACACAGGGAGCAACACAGCTGCTGTCGGAGGAATTTCAGTGCCTTCTTTGACGACGAGTTTGTGTACGACGGGCTGAATGCGGCTGGTTGGTTTTATCGTAAAACGGTAAAAGTTAAGCTCCGATCTTGCACAATCAATAACGGCATGGTTACGCGATAAAAAATTCCATCCAAGTATGATGTCGTGTGAGCATGACGAAAGGGCAATAAACTCAACAGTGTAGTGGTCCTTTGCGATCATCAGTCGGACAATACAGGCGGCTACAGGCTGAACCGGGTCCCCATTCGCTGTCTGCAAAGACATCATATTAAGAGGCGTCGTCACTTTTCGGAGCTTGCGGCAAAGTTTAGCGTCTATCACGGAAACGGCAGTGCCAGTATCCACTAGAGCATATGCTCGAGTACCTTCTACAAAAACTTCTACAATATTCGACGGCAATGTCCGAGGACTTGAGCATTTTGACAGCGCAGTTGTTGCCTCCTGAACTGCGGCGGTTAGTTTCCCTCGTGTTCAGGAGCTGGCCGACGACGCATGGGTGACAGGGAGCGACGACGGGGTGAAGGTGAGTGACCAGACATAGTACGCGGACATTCCCGTGAAGACGAGCTTGACTGAGGGTCAGAATATTCCAGACTGGATGGAGGAAGGTCCATGAAGCTGTTCTGTGTCCGGGCGTCTGTGTATCCCGGCATGCGACGACGGCAGTAACAGGCGATATGGCCAGGGCCGCCGCACGCAAAACAGATGGGCCGGTTATCGCGCATTCTCCAAGTATTGGCGACGAGGGGAGCAGTCCATGCGGCAGATGGGTGAGTTGAGGCTGTGGTGGCAATGGGAGGAACCCAGGTGGTGGACGGCTGAGTCGGGGCTGAGGTATAAGCAGTCCCTGGAACAGCGGGGGTGGTGTCGCTTCTGCCGCTTTAGTGCCTCAGCGTAAGTAAGAGGCGCGGTGACGGGGGGCTGCTGCAAGGGCACCGGCATAGCCTCGGAAATCTGCTCCTGGACCACATGTCGGAGCATGGGAGCCAATGGTGGTGGGTGTCGCAGTGGCTGTTGGTGCGAGAGCTCCTGGCGTTGAGCAAAAGACAGCAGAGAAAGCTGCCGAGCCACTTCCTTTCGCACGAAGTCTTTCATTTGTGCGAGAAGGTTTGTCTGGTCAGTCATAACGTCCAGTGCGGTCACTGGTTGGATTGTCTGGAATGAGTGTCGCGTCTGAGCTCGTTGCCTCTGCAATTCATCATAGCTTTAGCACAAAGTCACTACTTCTGCCACAGTGCTAGGAGACTTCGTGAGAAGCATCTGGAAAACGTCATCGTCGACGCCCTTCATAATGTGCTGTATCTTCGCACTCTTGCTCATGGAAGCATCGACGCGCCGGCAGAGATCGATCACATTTTCTATATATGATGTGAAAGTTTCACCTGGCTCCTGTGACCGTGTGCGCAAACGTTCGGTGCGTAGCTTCCGTAAGGCAGGACAACCAAAAACGGCACATATTGCCTCCTTGAAGGCGGATCAATTCGCGAACTCGGTTTCGTGGTTCGTATACCACAGCTTGGCCACGTCGGTGAGATAAAAATGGACAGTGACTAACTTAGCAGCGTCATCCCACCTGTTGGGTCCACTGACTTTCTCGTATGATGACAGCCAGTCCCCGACGTCCTGGTCTTCAGTGCCGGCAAAGATCGGGGGGTCTCGCTGATGAACCGGGCCGGGGCAAGTAGCGGCCGCGAGAGGTATTGTTTGTTGGGCAGCGTCAACTTGCATGGTCGACGGCAGGGTGCGGGATCGGAGTTTCAGGTTGTAGGCAATGTGGTTACCCAGCACGATCCACCAAATGTAAAGAGGTTTATTGGGCGAACCAAACGGGCAGGTGGGAGATTGGAGATAGCGACAGGACGAGGAAGATGGAGGAGCTCAAGCGCCGATCTCGTGGTGCCTTACTCTGCGATGATGCTTGCTGTTTCCTTTTGTTGTCATCATTCTTTCATTATAACAGTAACATTCGTGAACATGGCACACCACTCATTTAAAACCCAAGAGCAGCCCAGTTGAACTGATGCTTTGTTTAGTCGTCTGGTCGGGAATTTTTCGTCACGACCCGCCGCCATTTATTCGGAGTTCTGGTGTCTAAATTCTGTCTTAATAATGGACACTCGGTGCTGACGGACAGCGCTGTGTGACGAAGCTGCATGACAGCTATTGCCATCGAGCGGCTCCCGTGAAATGCATCATATGTGAGACACAACGCACTGCTGTTTGCTGGCGCAATTTACTTTTTTTTTACTAATTCTGGCTGCGAGTTGGGAGAAGCGGCCCTTACATGAGGCCCCTAATCGAGTGTGTACGGCATAGAGTCTCTCGCAAAAATACCTAGAGAGAAATGTGGCACCACCGTCTATGTGAATTTCTTAAGGGCCCCGTTGGAACGCAGGGAATGAAGGTATATGTGTCTCCAAGGCTTATGTTGGCTGGTGTTGAGTGAGGACTTCGGCTCAAAAGTGTATACAACTGTGTAGATAAACCTTCTCTAAAACAAAGCGTTGATGCGCAAATCTCATCCTCATGTATTATATTCTAGAATAAACGTCCGCTCATATTGACAACACAACTAAAGGGCAAAAGGGAGAAACAGACGACATAAAGTCGCAAAGGAAACGCTCGCATTGTGGTCTGCCTGCCAAGATTAGCGGCCGTTGGTTACCTCTTACACTTCGTAAAATTTTACATCGACGAAGAAGGTTCCAGTGTTAAATAAGACATGCTTCTAAAAAATAAATTGGTTGTTACGTGCTCTTTTAGTAAGAAATCAACCATTTCAACATGAAGCCAGCTGTGTCTTCGAGGTATACAAATTTGAGTCAAGTTCGAAGCTCACATCTCCCAGTATTCCCTTGCATCCAGCAACCAGATTTCCTCTAGGTAAGTTTGTGAGAAACTCTATGGTGTATGGAGTCAACCACTCTGCGAGTGTCGTCTCTGTTGCCAGATGGTGTGCTGCTGGGCAAGCTGTGCGGTGGCCTTTGAAATTGTGCACAGCCCGTAGGCGTGCAATCTGGGAGGCCTTCTCCTGACAGTAGAAGACTTGATGATGGAAATATTAATCTTCTCCGTCAGGTCCACTGCAGGCAGGGGCTGAGGAGGAGGAAGAAGATGGTCAGCCCCCGGTTGATCCTCTGCAGTTGCTTCAGCCACCAGTCGTCGATGATGAGTCCAGCTGTGTGTCACCGGCATCGTCTAGTGGAGGAGTGTATTCGGTAAGTGGCTTAAGCACTAAACTTAACAACAATGAGACGACTGATCAGTGAATGCGTTCTTCATGATTTTGAAGTGCGCTGTCACCTTTTGGAAACTGGGTACATAACCATTGAAACTTGTTGTATAGTTTGTGTGGCAATAAGATCCACTCTCTTTGTTGCTAATCTGCCATGGTGCTCAGCTATTGACCCGAAGGTTGCGGGTTCGTTCTCGCCCATGGCAGTCATATTTTGATAGAGGTGAAATGGTAGAGGCCTGTCTACTGTGCGATGTTAGTGCTTGTTGAAGAACACCAAAATTGCTGGAGCTTTTCACTACGCCGTCGCTCATAATCATATTGTGGTTTTGGGGCATGTTACTATTGTGAACTTTGTTGCTGGGCAGTGTTGTAAGAGTTGCTGCAACCATCAGTTAGCTCGTGGATTGAAATTTTCGGGTAAGTTCAATGATGTGGGCTACAAGGTGATGACAGAGTGGCAAGACAGGTCATGTTGTGTGCAATCTCATATTAATGATGTGAAAACAGCATATTATTCAGTAAACTTCCCCCTCACTTTCCCAAAATGTGCAGAATATGTAAGCATAGCATACAGCATATGTTGTGACATAGCGATTCATTGGACTACTTTATTTATCAGGCTGCTGATCACAGTCTGTGTTGCCACATGCAGCTCCTTACTATTTTTATTTTTTTTCACACGTGAATGAAGGTGGATGAGAGTGCCAATGCGATTGCTTGCCAGTAGTCATGCAATATAATTATTACCATTGTGTGTCACACAGTAGTAATAAAAGAATTTCATGGGCTCAAGAAAAAGGAAGCAAAAGCTGCTGTAGTGTTGCCATTGTCTACACCCTCAAAATAACACTTTCATTCAAAATACTTCAAATGCAAGTGTAAACAGGGACTTAGTGAGACAGCCCCTGTTTACGTCATGTGCTACTGTATATAGTATCATGAATCTACAACTTGCCCAATCAGCCATTCTGACAATGGAATGTTGCTGCTGTGGCTGAGAGTCTCCAGAAGGGCAAAGTGTGGGCAGCGAAGATGGAGATGTTGTCCACAGTGGTGGTGCAACAATTGCGGCAAACTGCACCAAGACATGAAACCTGCTGCGTTCTGCTGCATTTTGGCAAAAATGTCAGAATTTATGCTAAGTGTGTGCCAAGACATTTGGCAGTTTTTTTTTTAGAAAAAGCAGCAGCTGCTAGATGTAGTGTTATCGTTACCTTTGTTCAGGCCAAGCACTGTGCTGCCTGCCCTATGACATTACCGGTGTAAAGTGATAAAAAGCAACTGTTCAATAAACACGGGGTTCTTTTGAGGCAGTGACATTGGAGTGGCGTCTGTCTTTCAATCGCATCGTACCCCTCGGCTTAGAGCGGATATGACATGGTGTGAGAAGTGGAATGAGCCTCCCATTCCTAGTTGTTGCGGCACTCACCCTGCGTTCCACCGGCACGACGGCAGCCCCGACAGCCACGATATCAGCCCTGCAGCGACAGGCATCTCACCGTCGACACCGTAAGCGTTTGCTGCGGGCGTAAGGCGCTGTTGGCGAAGTCCGAATGAGCCCCAGAGGGAGCTGACGGACGTAAAAGAAAAGTGTGCTTACCCCCATGTCGTCCCCGGAGAAGCCCCTTTCTACTCCCGACGCGCGCGCGCAAAGCCTCTCGGGAGACTCCACGCGCGGCTCCACAGTCAGCATCCGCTACTGGGTGAGGGGGGGTTAAACGTCACTCCGCTCCCCCAGTGCGGCAGACAGTGGAAGAGGAAAAACATGTTGGGATATGAGAACGGAGAAAGAGGCGGCAAAGCCCGCACAACGGCAGCGGGCTGGCCTCAATTCCCACAACCCTTACGCTAGCGGCTGCTTTTGCGAAGGCCAGACTTAAGGAAACAGTTCACCGGCAGTAACTGGAACTCCGGCTCGTCAGCAACAAGGCGACTACAGGTGAACTTGGAATGGTCCAATGAACATCGAGCAAATATTCCAGCACCTGGGAGGATGGGACAACAGGACAGCAACCACAGTCGCTCCAGCGTTCGTTGCAAGGCCAGCAGTGATGGCAAGGATGCCCGTTCTGCAGATGTTCGAGCCACGTAAAAGCTTAGTGCCCAGCACGTTCGGCACGGTGTGACCACTGCAGAATCAAGGGACGTTTCAGCCGCGTATGCCACAAGAGAACCGAAAACCAGGTGGGCCTGTCTACACTAGAAGGCGATGTAGAGAACTTTTTTGTTGGGACACTTAACGAATCAAATGCCTGATACGCGGAAGTGTCTATCAATAGGGTACGCGTAAACGCTAAAATAGATTCAGGAGCGGAAATTATTGTCGTTCCACCTGATTTCCCTGGCATACCGTCTTGTATAAGCAAGTCGCAGGCTGTGCTGAGAAGTGCTGCAAAGCGGCGCCTTGAAGTTGATGGTTGTTTTTCAGCAGATATTGTGTGGAAAGGCAAGACCACACGACAAACATTATACGTTGTAGAGTCACTGCAGTGTGTTCTGTTAAGGCTTCCAGCTATTCAAGCTTTTGGTGTGGTCAAATTTCTTGATGTGGTTGAAGATAAACAGTACGAGTACTTGTATCCGCAGCTCTTTTCTGGTTAGGGGACGATGTCTGGGGAAAACACTATTCGCATGAAACAAGGAGCGATTCCCTTTGCAATTTTCGCACCGTGGTGGATACCAATCTCGTTAAAGAACTCTATCGAAGTAGAGTTGGCCAAAATGGTCAAAAGTGACGTCATTCGGAAGGTTGACGGTCCGACGACTAAATGGTGTGCAGAAATGATTCCCGTGGTCAGTTAGCAATGAAATTCAATCAGCATCAACTCTGATCGCGATCAGAACTGACACTTGTATTGTGAACACACACACGCACACAAAAAAGCTTGAGCAGAACACGCAGCACAATCACAGCGAAAGCTGGAAGATTGAAATGTGTAAGATACCCACTATGTTATAAACCATAATTTCTCACAAGCTGGGAAGCACCCACTACACCACTATTTGCCATGCTTTGGAGAAGTAAGCTGTCCGCCATGCAGCTGCACGGAATTATGTGCACTTTGTGGATGGACTGACGAAGAATTCTTTCTGAGCCCTTTGTAATAAGTTGGGAGCATTAAATCACGCACTCATTATGCAATTCATATTGTTTGATGCCTGGTTGTTATTTTACGCTTATACCATGCTATATTACACAAGCTAACACGTTTATTCTTCCTCACATAACACCAGTATAGGGTGTTTTTGTAATAGAGTTTTGATCACCGGCATGGCTCTGTGGTAGAATACTGGGTTGCCCCAAAGGGGACTTAGACTTAGGTTTGAAACTCATTTCATCCCGAACATTTCTTTTATATCATTTTCTTATTATTATTTTGAGTGATAGCGGTTAGGGACAACGGACAACTACGGCACCAAAAACTGCCCTTGGTGTGAGCTCATGACAGCGTTTACTGTAAAAAGCATGATCTTGGTGGTCTTGATGGTATGCAGAGGTGGACAGAGGTGCCCCTACAACTATGGAACTGCTGTGGCGCATCCCTTTTGTCTGCTGACACCTTTAGATGCAGCGTCAACATGTCAATTAGCATGCGATAACAGCTTTCTATGCTTACATTGCACTCCTGTGTGCCATCAATTTATGTGCATCAGCAGCCCAGGCATATCTGCTAGCCTTTGTCAATTATTTGTTTGTTCGCACTGAGCTGCGCCGTTTCTTCATAATTGCTAACTCAGCTTGCCATACACTTGAATAGATGTTGACTGGGTCTTGCCGAATGGTGTGTGCAGAGTGATCTGCTCGACCTGTTCTCACTCAACTTGCACCGCATCGACAAGGATGTGCAACGCTGCGACCGCAACTATGCCTACTTTACCACAGCCAACCTGGAGAAGCTGCGAAATGTTATGTGCACGTAAGTCCTGCCTGTTGCTCTTTAACATTGTGTGTCTCTTTTATTATTAGTGTCTTAAATTAGGCTGGTTGGTACATACTGATTTTGAACAAATAAACAGCGCTACAACTGTATGAAGACTGCAGTTTTACCAGCTCCATTGACGGTAGCTCCTTGAATCCAGAAATGTGGAGACTGTTGTGTAGATAACTTTGCAACTGCTTCGCAAGGATGAATTAATGTATCTTTCTATATAGCGATTTTGTAATGTTTCGATATCTTCTTCCTCAATATGTATGCTGATTGTGTTTTTCTCTGTCTACAGTGAAACCTTGTTAATTCAAATTAACAAAACATACAAAATAGGTGGTATGCAAAAAACTTGCAGTTATTCAATGTTATCAGGGCTGATCACTTACTGTGCCAGCTAGTTTGCTGCTCCAAAAGTGATGTTTTTCTGCAATACCTGGTCATAATTTTGCCACTAACACGAAAGAATGGTGGGCCTCGCTGCTGCCACAAAAAAAAAGGAAAGAAAATGCAGTTGTGATCAACTAAAATGCACGCCTGCGGAAAACAAGGTATGCATCACTACAACACGGTAGTGATAAGCATAAGCGGGTAGCATGTCGCTTGCTCCTCGCTGTGACAGCACGTCATGATGCGACCATTCCACCATTTTTTTTTAGGGGACATAAAAAATTTAATAATGGGCATTGTTACGAAATTCTTTATATATTTGGCTGGAAAGCATGATCATGATCATGAATTCCACCAACGTGTCCTTTATTAAATTTATTTACTATCCCAGAAAGAATAGGTAAAAATAAAGTGCCGACAAAGTGAGAAACATGCGATATGCTGCCCGCGCGTCACTGCTGTGCTGCAGTGTGGCACGTCTTGTTTACCGCAGGTGCACATTTTGGTTGACCCCGAGACGTTTTTTCTTAATATGGAGCATTTCTTAGTTACACGATGTCGCGCTTCGGCGTCGCTGGCATCGTCTACACCTCTCGTCCACGTCTCGTGCCGGCCAAAAATACACCCTCAAAACTGTCGCTCCCCTTCCCCTCTCTAGCCTTGCAAGGCCGATGCAGGCAGTGTCTGCTGGTAACAAAAACGATTGCTCGCGCGGGATAACCGTTCACTGGCCATCCCGCATATGTAGGCACTGGAACGCACGTTCGAAATTCAGTTAAGGGCGTCTTTGCTTGGCTTTTTCTTGACGTTAAAGGCAACGCTTCTCCTTAATTCAATAAATAAGAATAATAAAGACGGAAGAACAATCAAGCATTCCGGAACCATACCAAATTATGCAACATTCACTGTGCAACCACTGTGCGATGCATTCACTCGAGTTCTTCCCGTGGAAAGATGCGGGTGGCATTTTTGCTGGAAGTATTGGGGCTGGAGTGCTTCAGCTGCCACTCATTAGTACCGCTACATTGTGTTACCTTGTGGCTCTTAACAGCAGTTGTTTCAGTGGATTTGCGGCGAAATCGGGATCAGGAATTGGCACATGGCACCTAAAGTTTTCGTATTGACCGGACTGGTGCTGACTTCCACGTCAAATTATCCACTCAGATTCATAATGCAAACTATGGCACCGCGACAACAGTTTGAATTAAGCTGGAGTTCAAAACAACCGAGTTCAAATTAATGAGGTTTTACCGTAGACTGATGTGAAAACGTAATACAATGTTATTGGCACCGTGTTTGTATCCTTTTGTCTTTGCCCTGTTCTAGCGCTGTTACTTTATTTTATTTTTTATTATTATTGTAAGTCGTTATGTAGCGAGAAAACAAATAAATAGGACAGCTTGAAATTATACGGGCACCACAAGCCATGTATTCTCCAAATGGCTTCACTTGGACAGTTTATGGGTAACATTGAACCCATGTGTGATCCTGTGATGCACTGCAGTTCGTTCTGGGTAGGACGGTGCAAACCATGAACTCGGGCGATAGAAAGGGGAAAGCTGCCATGGATTGCCAGAAAAATTCTTTATTCTCAAACATTCATCATACTTGGAGTGTATGGTCGCACAGAATAGGAAATAGGCAGTCTTACAATCACCCAGAGCACATTCACCTTGGGATGTCACCTCTGTGCATGCAAATTCTCTAGTTACTTTTTTAGTTATGGTTATGACATCCATTCTTTAGAAATTAGCAGTACACACCCAAGATGCCACCTAAGCTCTTTTGCATTGATCTCACCAAGCCCCATGCAAAATTTACTTGCATTTCGTTCTGGACAAACTTTACTTTAAAACAACGATACATTTTTCCACAAACCCTACAAACCCAATGCCTAGGTACCCAGTTATTGAAAACGCTAATTTTAAATGTAGAATGCAGATAGGTTGAGTGAGCAGGAGAAGCTGCCTCAGGCAGGCTGGTAGACATTTCAATGAGAGGACCTATGAATGGTTATTTCAAATGCACAAGTGTTTCCAGAATTTCAGTAATATGTAAGGCAATGAGATGCAAAAAACCAAATACGCATGTCAAGATACTTAGGTTTTCAAAAAAAAAAAAAAACGACAGGGAGAAAAAGGTGGAAGCTTGCAATAAAAAAAATGAATCCATAAACAGGGGTGGCATGCTTCAGCCAATGTTTAGACAAGTGGACTTGCCTTCCGCCCGGGTTGTTCTGTTTCAGCCTTGAAGACCTAAAGTCCACAAGTTAAAACATCGACTCGAGCACACGCACCCTGTTCACGGATTTTTTTCATCGCAAGATACTTTGGCTGTGATGTATATTTAAGCTCATAACCCGAAAATATTTCTCCACAAAGGCTGATGGCGTGTGTTTCATGATTTTTCTTCCTAGCATATTTGTTTCCTACTATACTTAAATGAGCAAAGTGAAAGTCTTATTTTTTTTTTTCATACCGATTACCGTGTTAGCACAGTTGAATCACGATAATTCGAACTCGAAGGGGCCCAAAAATTTGTTTGAATTAAAAGAAGTTCGAATTAATAAAAGCTAAATAAATGGAGGGCTCTCCATGCAGTGTTGCATTGAGCTAACACATGAGGGGGAAGTTTCAGAAGACTTACATTCTAAGTACTAGTACACAAGTGCTCGAGAATGTTGAGGCTGGGAACGGAGCCTGCATCCTCCAGCTTCACCCCTAAGATACCGTGGCTCTCTTGTGTATGCATAAGTTAAGTGTTACAAGCTAATAGGTAGTGAAAGGGAAGGTTTGTGGCATCATTGGTGGTATCATCGTTTCATTGCAGCTATGTCTGGGAGCACCTGGATGTGGGCTATGTGCAAGGAATGTGTGACCTCGTGGCTCCCTTGCTGGTGATATTTGATGATGGTATGTTGACTGGGAGAAGTCTAATTATGAATGCATGAAATTAGCATTTGGTCCACTCTGCCTTATGATCTGCCAGATTTTCAAGACTATCACCCTAAAGGGGCTCTGCGACACAAGTTAAGTGTGTTGTTTTTATAGCCTTTTCTCGAACTGCGGAATGCACCGGTATTGGTGCATGAGTGGTAATGACAAAAACAAAGCTGTTTTAATTTTATTTTTACAGAAAAACCGAACTGTTTTCAGACAAGAACGGCACACAGTGTCTATTTTTGCAATCAGTATTGACTCTTCACCACGTGAGAGTGACGACACGGGCCGTGCGTTTTGATTGGTTTAACGCGACCAATCGTGCATAATATTCTTACGGTCCCAGATAGGCCATGCTATTGTTCACTAAAATTTATAAAAAGACTTTTTATAGTTCCTCAGTTGAAAATGGATTTCTCTCTTTAGATCATGAAAGTGTGAAAATAATTGCAGAACAATGTCAGGAGTGGTGCACAACAGCCACCACACGGCAAGTCTTCGGATACATCTCTGTGAGAGGTGCGCAGTGTTTGGAAGGGGCCTTTGATGTCAGTAGGGGTGTGATACGCGAAAGGGAACATTATGCTTGTCGTCTGCTAGGATATTGAAGTTTGGAGGCTAATAACTTCCATTACCGTGCATCGATTTCAATCATTTTTGCGCTCATCTCAGTATTCAGTAGTGAGCGAACTCCAGTGCTGTAAAACGCAGATGAAAAAGCGTCCTAGGACCCCTTCAACCCTTTGACACACTGTGTACGCAATTGCTTTCACCACTTCCTTTTTCGATTAGTATCAACTAAAAGTTGAGAAAGCAAGATATATTGAGCTTTGTATGAATTGAACCTTGTGCATGACAAATTGTATTTATTCAATTTCATTTTGCAGTGTACTGTTGCGTATGATCACATTACTCAAGGCACATTCAACGAGTTGTTCGACGTGCCGCTTTCTACATACTATAGCAGACTCTCAGTAAATGCAACCTGAAGGGACCAGGAAAATATGTTCCATTTAACAGGAGTTCCGTTTACTGAGATGTGAACACGGGTGCAGAATTCAAGCCTGAAACCAAGCATTGCAGAAGCAATAGTTCCGTTTAAGCAGTAGTTCCGTTTAACAGATTTCGTTTACTGAGAGTCTACTTATTCAAATGTTGAATAGCCATGCTAATGTTATGCAAAAAGATGTCTCACAAAAAACCTCTTGACAAGACCAGCTTTAGATGTTATTCTGATGTTTTTTATGGGTGTTTTCTGAGTTTCATAGCGATGGTTTTAAAAATATAAAACAAGCTATTATAACTGTTTTTAGGAAAGAAGTGAAAATATGAAGACTTGTTTTTGGTTGTTCGACACAATGTTAATAAGATAATTAATCAAAACTGTTAGTTATGATTTATAACTGTCTTTGCAGAATGTTTGGCTGGCAACCTGATTGCTACAATAGGAAGTTACAGATTGAAGTGACTGAAGAGAGCTCCACAGAAGCTCTATCATGTTTTTCTCCCACTTCCTACTCCAGTCGGTGATGCAGGGGACCAAACAATCAAGCAACATCACTAACATACTTGTTCATTCGCGCATGTCCTCACTGTGGCATCTAAAAGTTTTCGACATTGTGTGTACTTGCACCTATTGTAGAGAGAATAATGCTGTTTCATTTCCTCGTACTTTAGCGTCATGTGCCGTGAAAATTAATGGCTATTTTAGCACACTGCATATATCCAGTTTTTATGTCAAGCACGTTGGTTTATAATAAATGTGAACTCACACAGGTTGAACAGGTGCTTTTTAATTGACATTTAGTATATGATGCACAAATAATCATGCTTATCAGCAGCAATAAATTATGCCATGATGTTGTAAAAGCGGCTTGATTAATGACTACAGCACTACCGAATGAGACACAAAGTACAACTGAAGGTTACCGAACCAGTTGAAGTTGATTGCTGCTGCAGCAACGTATATTCAAATTCTGCATGAATGCACTTCAGGTCCCGTCAATAAAACTGCACTGTTTTCCACATTAGCTGTATTGGACTCCGGCTCAATGTCTTGTACGAACAGCGGTGAAGAAAAGCTGCCTTGAAGAAAATGCAAGAACTCACTGTGTAATTTACAGCGAATAGGCTTGTGCAAATAGTGAGTTTTGGGTTCGAAGCGAATAGTGATTTTGATTGAATGATTTCGAATTGAACTCGAATAGTATCATGAATTATAGAGAAAAAGGGGCATACTTGATTTGTCAAGACCGAGCTAACCTGCACAATAATTTTTTTTAAGTTGTACCCAGGCCTGTGTGAATGCCATTTTTTTTGCATCAAAGGAAATGGAAGCAACTTTGAATCGCAGCAGGATTTGACTTTCAGTAAAAAGTTAGTGGTAGCCTGCAAAATTAATACTTATTAAAATTTGCTATATTTGTAGCATATGAGTTTGTATAACGATTGTAAACTGAAAAATTAATCTATGTGAGAGTAATATCTTCATTTAACCCTGAAGTGGGGTTTTGCATCATTGCGGATTTCTTTTGAATATGCGTTTTCATAACGCAGCGCTATTTCACTTGAGTGAAACTACTTTTACAGAAAGTTACATTCGAACTAATATACACTTGAATAGGTGTTTTTACGGCTTAGCACTTCTTTACTGCAGTGAAGCCACTTGTACAGGGTGTACATGTGAATTATTACGCGTTTATTCATTTGTCGATAATAATTTGAAATTTAGTGATAATTGAAATTTAATTCAAAGAAAATTCAAATACTGCATTATTCGTTCGAATAATACAAGCATTCAAATATTGGCACAAGCCTAACAATGAATAATGGAGCATAAGTGGTTCAAATTACAGATTTTCAATTATAGATGTGATAGAATACTGTCATGTATTTATAAAAGAAAATAAATCATAACTACACTCGCAGAGCATTGCACTTTGTCATTGACAGGCCAACATGGTTGTAAGCAAGCAAGCGCTTGCACACACACACACACCTGCACATGAGCTGTAACTGGTGGGTGTGCTCAGCTGTAAATCGCAGAAGAAAAAGATGACCGGATATAGGACGAGTCAGCCTGGGTTACGATTCGATTTGCACCAGCGCTTCCTCCATACATGGCTGCAAATTCGATGAAGATTCAACCAGATTGAGCAACCAGCAAAGAACTGTCATATTTTATGTTTTGATTACAAGGCTGCTCAAGAGTTTCAGTAGTAATGATAAAAAGCAAGGTACACTTAATTTTATTTACCGGAAAAATTGTTATCTGAACATGCAAAGGTCCTAGTTGCAAGAAAAGTGACTAGCAGATCTGGCCATCGTTATGACAAACTGTTGGTGAAAACACACAGTAGAACTTGTTTCACAAAACACCGATAAAATACCTGTGGAAAAAAGTATCAGCACAGTTGCAGTAGTCTGTACAGAAAAGCTGGAAACGCTAATGCTTCACAAAGCGCTAAACGATGAACGCTGGCCTGTCAATTGAGCCGCTGCAGAACGTTGCGGAGATAGGATGTTTCAACATGAGTGACATGAGCACTGCGTACCGCCAAAGCAGGTGCTTGTCAATATGCACCAGTGTTTTGCTACTGTTGTTGGTCGAAGTTGGGCAAGCATGCTGCTGAAAGCATCGTTTTTATATGATCGCCTTGGATTTGAAAGAATATAACTCAAACTTCGATATAAAACCCGGATATAAAGAAATATTGGTTATAACGAAGTAAATGAAAAATAGTTTTGCAGTAGATATAGTGTTGGGAATAAACCTTTATAATGAATTTTTGGATATAACAAACTTATTTTCATGTAAGATGCAACTTTGTTATTATAAGGTCTGAGTGCTTGCCCAACTGCTAATTAGCACTATATTTACAGGTGCATTAGCATTTAAAACGAATTAGTCTGAGAATTTCTTCGCTGCATCATTTCTTAGTAAAGCTGAGTCACCGCTCTTTTGATATGATGATTTGTCATTTTGGTGCTTTTCAACAAAATATTTGAATCATTTGCACTCGCAATACAAAATGTGTAAAAAGTATCTTGATGTGGGCATTATCAACATGTTTGGCAGAACAGACTCTCTTGGTTGTCATTTAATAAATTGTATGTAAGAACATTTGAAGAATTTTGCAAATGTCCTATTTTAGGTCTTCTCGTAAACTAAGATGTCTAGAGCTGTTTTTAAGCATTTCTAGATGTCTTCTAGATTTTGTGTTTCGTGGGATGCTCGTTGTGCCTGAAGGGGTGAGACGAATCAGTAGCATCAGCACCATGATGTGGACTTTAGGTACCAGGAAATGCAGTTGTTGCATTTGAGAAATGCCTTGTTTTGCTATGCCATGGCAGGGATGGGTGTACTGTGCCTATTAGAATACATAATCAAATTGTGTGTTAGTTATAAGTGGGTTTTGTCCATTACCTTTGAAATTTGTGTGTTTTTGTTGCCTTTACTATTGTTTTCTACGCTCGTAAAATAAATTGGCATACAGTGATTGTGTTGCTAATAGTAATGAAGGAACTTGTGTAAGACCGGCGATAGTTGCATGGCTGATTCAGAAATCTCGTGAAGAATTTAATTTAAAGCGATGGCTGTTGGCACTGTATTCATTGTAGTTACAACATCTTTGTGCAGAGATGCTGACCTACAGCTGCTTCTGTGAGCTCATGAAGCGAATGGCAGCCAACTTCCCCCATGGGGGCGCCATGGATCACCATTTCGCCAACATGCGGTCGCTCATTCAGGCAAGTTGGCTGTATACTCGGCCGAGCGCTGGGGTTTCCATCTTGTGAGAAGCACTGACATTTTCGATCATGAGAACCATGAAGGTGCTCACCTTGTGCCAGAAATATGTATGCACTGTAGCTGCGTTCGAGTAGCACCAATGCAGTGCCATGCCCATGGAATGAAACGCACCTCGTAATGACTGCTCAAAATTGTTCCTACAGATCAAGCTGCAACTGGTCATGCTTGTTGACCTTGGTGTAAATGTACAAGCCAATTAATAAAATTTTTGTTATGCACAACATGAACTGAAGACAGTGGGTAAATCTTGTAATGCTGCACAGCAGTCCTGTTGGCAACGATTTCAGTTGGCAACCTTTCTTGCGCAGATTCTGGATGCAGAAATGTTTGAGCTGATGCACCAAAATGGAGACTACACGCACTTCTACTTCTGCTACCGATGGTTTCTCCTGGACTTCAAGAGAGGTGAACCATTTTTTTTTTGCTTAATGCCACATTTTTTACTGTTCCCTAGAGGTGTGCGAATATTTGAAACTTTGGCATATCAGTCGATAATATTCATATTCGCTAACCACTCATTCGAAAAGATTGAATATATATTCGAGTTACTTGGACTATTCTATTTTTTTTAATATTCGGTCACATCGGTTACTGTAAACAAATTCTGATTTTGCGCCTTTATGATAAGTGCATCAACAGTTGATCATTCAGTGATTAGATTTCGGCGTGAGTGCTATGGGCTGCTGGCAAATGTGCCAGCACGTCATCCTGACAAATCTACCAACGATAAACATGTTAAAAAATCTAAATCATGAACTGCTTACTCGGCAGTATGTGTGGCTTAGTGGTTCAGTGCTATTGCTGCTGGCGTGAGCGTTAACTGCCCCTCCCTTATGTGCGGGACCACTTTCATAAAGTGCATGTCGCTTGTGGACATAGGAGCAACTCGCCATCGTCGCATTGGCCCAATAAAATGCTCGCAGCGCCTTTGCAGAATCTGGGGCTGTAGGAGCATGAGGAAAGAAAAAATTGGGGGACCCTCAAGCTTCACCTTTAAGAGTTGAAGGCGACAGTGATATCCTGTCCTTAGTGTGTACTTCCAGCACTTTGTGCATAAAATCTTTTCAAACTTGCTATGCACCCACTACATGACAATAATTAAGGGAATAGGTGCAGTAACATGTGTGCCTTCTGTAGTGGGTGACCGGCCCATGAAATCATTACGATAACCGCATGTTCAGACGCCTTATGAGAATCCGCACTTCCATCACACTAACATTACGGGGCTCTCTTCAAAGGACAATCTACTTCTTCCCCGCATTCTAACAATTTACGGGAAAGTAACAGCCCACATATCATTTTGGAACCTAATATCATATGAAATAAAATCAGCGTCATTTGTGCGTGCATTTTAATGTCTTCACAAGAAATACTGTTCCGACATATTATGTGACCCGGCCTAGTAACATAGGAATCTCCCATTTTTATTTCTCTTTTTTAATAGAAATTCTTTTTTTCTTTTATCTTTAGCGTTGTGCATGCTTGATTCGCTATCACTACCGCTGAATATTTGATGTTTTCTATTTTTTCATGAATTCATCTTGCTTTTGTTTTATAGCTGCAATTTAATATCGTTTGGTACTCATTCTGTGTTCACATTGTCTTGATGAATTCATTACACCTGCATCATGATTTCCAATGGTTCATTGTGTTTTGTTTTTAGTGTACACATACTATTGTACAGTCATAGCTTTACATACCATGCCAGTTTTGTTGTTGTTTGTTGCTTTCGTTTTTTTATGTAGCTTCTTTAGCTTTCCTTTAAATTTTGTACATGTATTATTTTCCCTCATGCTGCCCATGACATTTAGAATACATATGATCCAGTATTAGTTGTTCCCTGTGTCTGTTCCTTCACTATGGGACCTCCGAATGTATTACTTGTCACTAACGATGTTACTTAGTATGCAAAGAAGCTCAATAAGATTGACTTGACTTGACCATAGATAATTACTACAATATTTCATGTTGTATTGTGAAGCACGTGATATGTACAGGACACGTGTGTTGGTAAAGCATGAAAGTTACTTGCACTGCATTTTGAAGCAGAGGAAATTATTTTCCTCTGCTTGGAAAATAAGTGCTGCCACAAGGGATCTCGATGGCATTGCTCTGCACCTTAGAAGACAATGCTGTAGATGTTTTTACGATGGCGGCCCCTTCTGACCCCCACACTCAACATCAGTCTGACACTTCCTCCGACAGCGCTATTACGTCGATCGCTTCCAACTAAACGCCGCAGCAGACTGACGAGCTCCACCGGGTTCTGCTGTCCTACATCGACGTTTTTGACCTCAGCAGCCGTCCGTTGGGGAAAGCTACTGGTATGACCCACCGCATAAACACTGGTAATGAGCATCCTAATCATAGGTGCCCATATCGGGTGTCGGCGGCCGAGCGTCACATTATCCAAAGTGAGGTCGACAAAATGCTCGCAAAGGACATCATTGAGCCATCCTGCAGTCCTTGGGCTTCTCCTGTAGGGCTAGTCCGCAAGAAAGACGGTGCATGGTGTTTCTGTGTTGATTGTCGATACCTCAACAAAATTACCAAAAAAGACGTGCCCTCTCCCACGAATAGATGATGTGCTTTATTGCCTCCATGAATCCCACTATTTTTCCTCCATAGACCTTCGTTCTGGCTACTGGCAGATAGATGTAGGTGAAATGGACCGTGAAAAGACGGCATTCATCACCCCTGATGGCCTATATCAGTTCAATGTCATGCCTTTCGGCCATTGTAATGCTCCAACCACCTTAAAACGAATGATGTACTCCCTGCTCAGAGGATTCAAATGGTCCACCTGTTTGTGCTACTTGGATGACGTCATCATCTTTTCACCAACATTTGAAACTCATATAGAGCGCCTCTTAGCCATCTTAGACATCTTCCGTCGTGCTGGTCTGCAGCTCAACTCATCCAAATGTCACTTTGGACGCCATAAAGTCACAGTACTTGGCCATTTAGTGGATGCCAACGGTGTACAACCAGACCCGGCAAAAATCAGCCCCGTCAAAAACTTTCCTGTATCACGATCTGCGAAGAATGTACGCAGCTTTATAGGCCTATGTTCCTACTTCTGACGCTTCGTGAAAAATTTGCGCACATAGCGAGGCCGCTTACGCAGCTTCTTAAGAAAGACATCCCGTTTTCATGGGGCTCCGAAGAGGCTTCTGCATTCTCGACTCTCATCGCTCTTCTCACTACTCCTCCGATTCTGGCACTCTTCAACCCTGCTGCTCCTATGGAAATCCGTACAGATGCAAGTGGACATGGCATTGGTGCAGTGCTGGCTCAGACACAACATGGCCATTATTACGTTATTGCATATGCCAGCCGCCTCCTATCCGCACCTGAACGTAACTATTCGATAATAGAGCGTGAGTGTTTGGCTCTTGTATGGGCGGTGGTGAAATTCCAACCTTATCTATACGAATGCCCATTTTCGGTAGTTACCGACCACCACGCACTCTGCTGGCTCACCTGTATGAAAGATTCATCAGGCCCCCTTGGTCGCTGGGCTTTGCGCCTGCAAGAGTTATGCCAACGTCGTAAAACACAATCACTGCTACCCGCTGGCCATCTTCAACCAATCGACATACTCGTGGAACCATTTTACCGTGTTGAATTACACCTGCTTGGTCCTTTTCCCACATCAACATTGGGAAACAAATGGATAGCCGTGATTACAGACAACGCTACACGCTATGCTATTACGCGAGCTCTACCGACCAGCTGTGCAACCGATGTCACTGACTTCTTGTTAAATTGACTCACAGTGCTCCGAGACAACTCCTCACAGACCGTGGCCGTACATTTCTATCTTAAGTTATCGCCGACATTCTGCGTTCTTGTTACACGCAACACACACTGACAACCGTTTACCACCCTCAAACAAACGGCCTCACAGAATGATTTAACCGTACTCTAACAAATATGCTCGCTATGTACGTGTCGCCCGACCACCGAGACTGGGACCTTGCTTTATCCTACGCAACTTTCACGTATAATTCATCCCATCACGACACAGCAGGCTTTTCGCCGTTCTACTTATTGTACGGAAGAGAGCCGACTTTACCACTGGACACAGTCATCTCAGCTCACACCTCGTCCACCAACGAGTATGCCCGCGACGCGATTGCGCGAGCCGATCATGCCCGTCAGCTCGCTCGCGTTCGTCTGATGGCGTAGCAAACCAACCAATGCCATCGGTACGATGCGGAACATAGAGACGTACATTTCGCTCTCGGTGCCCTCGTTTTACTCTGGTCCCCTCATCGTCGGCTGGGCCTCTCAGAAAAGCTTTTGTCTCATTACACAGGACCCTACCGTATATTGCGTCAAATAACACCTGTCACCTACGAGATCAGCCCAATCTATCCATCATCATCTGCTGTGCGGTCCAGTGATATTGTACTCGTATCGCGGATCAAGCTCTACAATGATGCGTCAGATAACGACCTTTAAAGCATCGGGATGGTGCCTCCGCCGCCGGGGGTCATGTTACGTGCCACTGCATAGAGACGAAGAAGAAAAGCATATAGACTGGCGTGAGCTAATCTCTGTGGTTGGTGCTGCTCGCTTAACCAGTTGATTGATTTGTGAGGTTTAACGTCCCAAAACCACCATATGGTGCGTGCAATACCCTGGTGCGTTTCATGCGCTGTTGCCACAAGTTCAGCCACGGGAGATGAAGAAACTACAAGCCTCTCTGCCTGCATCAACAATCCACTCACTACTGACAATTCGTCACGAACTCTGAAGTATGGTTGGAGATCTTGCGGCAAATCTCTGTGTGATGGCCAAGACCCATTTACAAACGCCTTCACTTTTTAAAGAGTGGCATCAGCCAGAACCACTTGATCAAACTGCTCTTTTGTCAGGCAAATTGGTTGAAGCATTGAAACAAATTCTTCCTCGAAATTCAGCTCTCTATCTGACATATGTGCAGGTAATCGTAACAGAGCATCAGCTACTCTGTTGGACGAGCCTTCCTGGTGCTCCACCATGAAATTGTATCGTAGTAGCCTTGCGCACCAACCTGCAATTCTAAGTGGGCGTCAGCCTGAGCCTTGAAAAGACAAAAGTGAAACTAGCGCCGGATGGTCTATTCGGGGAGTGAAGCTCTGTCCCTACAGGTATGTATGCCAATGCTCGCATGCCCAAATGCATGCAAGTGCTTCCTTCTCGCCAACTGCATACCTACTTTCTTTCAGCCGGAGATATATGATGCAAAAGCAACAGTATGAAGATAATCATTGGCATGCTGCTGGAGGACTGCTCCTAGAATAAATTCGGATGCATCAGCCGAGATGATAATTAGAAGCGCAGGATCAAACATGTACAAGACAAGATCTGACGATAATACCGCCTTTACCGCGCGGAAACTGTTGTCCACCTCAGCA